AGAAAAATGGATCTAAAGATTTCCTAGAACTAAACTGAGGACATAATTGTAAACTCTGCTCTCTAATTCCTGTGAAGCAAGTTCTGTTCATTAAAAAGAAAAATAGGCTAGAGACTCAGCCTTCTCTCGGTTATCCCTAAACTCCAATTCTGTTATGATTCAAATATAATAAATGGCTGTACATTTACAAATAAATATGTGTGCCTGATTGAGCTAAGTTGGGAGAAAACTGTGCTGGTCAACTTAATGCAAACTAGAGACACCTGGGAAGAGGGACCTTCCCTTAAGGAATTGTCTCCAACTGAATGGCCTGTAGGCATTACTGTGAGGAAACATTTTTTGATTGTGAATTGACGTGGGAAGGTGCCATCCTTAGGCAGGGGGACCTGGCTTAAGAAAGGTAGCTGAGCAATCTAGGGGAAGCAAGCCAGTAAAGTGTTCTTCTATGGTCTCTGCTTCAGTTCCTGCCTCCAAGTTCCTGCCTTGAGTTCCTGCCCTGACTTCCCTAAGTGATGGACTGTGACCTGGAAATTTCAAGATGAAATAAGCCCTCTCCTCCCCAAGTTGCTTTTGGTCAGAAGAGCAAACTAGAACAAGAATTCTTTCCAGTTAAGTGATTTCATTGGGCCGGAGACATTGGCTATAACTAAGGCTTCAAAGAAAGTTAAGAACAAGTATAATGAGAACAGGATTTGTTTCACATACAAGTTGAGAAGATAAGTCAGCAAGATGGCGTGCCTTAGATGACCCTTTCTAATGGCCTTGTAAGATGGTCATTTAATTCTTTAAAAGCCCAGTGTGCAGCCAGGTGTCGTGGCACACGCCTTTAATCCCAGCACTTGGGAGGCAGAGGCAGGTGGATCTCTGTGAGTTCAAGGCCAGCCTGGTCTACATAGTGAGTTCCAGGACAACTGGGGCTACAGGGAGACCCTGTCTCAAAAAGACAAAAAAAAAAAAAAAAAAAAAAGCGCAGTGTGAGCCAGATGTGTTGGTGCAGGCCTTTAATCCTAGTACTCAGGAGGCAGGCAGATCTCTGTGAGTTCAAGGCCAGCCTGGTCAACAGAGTGAGTTCCAGGCCAGGTGGGGCCACAGGGAGAGACCCTGTCTCAAAAAGACCAAAACAAAGGTCCAGTGTGGATGGATTTAGAAACCCAAGGAGGGTTAAAAGAACACCAGGCTAGGAAGACCAATGTTTGCATCTAGGTTAAACTCTTGATTTTCAGACTGAAAGTTACCTGGCATTAGGGTCTTCCATCAAACTTCAGTTTGTTATGGGAGCCTTAAAGTATTCATAACTCCCCTAACTGCAAAAAGACCTCAAAATCAAATGTCAAGAAATAACCCATTTTATCTTGGCTACATTGTATAGAAGTCTGTTTAAGAAAATAAAATACTGTGGTTAGAACCTGCAGAAAGTGAATCATTGTAGCTGGCTATGGAAGGTACCAGAAAAGACTTTACAGAGAAAGGAGTGAACTTGGAGTCCAAGAGCAAACAGATTTTCCAAAGAAATAGTTTAATTATAGCAGTAAAAATGGCTGATACATTAGATACAAGTTTGGGAAATAAAGCTGATGAATTAAATGAGGTTTTTATAAGCCAGAAAACTGCACGATCAATTTAGTAATTGTTGTTATAGTTTTAGGGTTGAATGGAGGGAGTCACTTAATGCTGGCAAGCACTCTATCACTGAGCTGTATCCCTAAATCCAATTTAGTAACTTAGCCACTTAATTTAGCAAAAACGCTGCTGAAAAGTTGTTAAAAAGAGCAAACATAGGCATGCAGGCCAGCAGTGAGATTCTAGTAATGTTCAAGATAAGAATGGATAAGTGTCTGTAAAGACAAACAAAGGCACTGAAAGTAATGAGCTGATTATTGATTTAGGTCCCATCAAGATGACCCTGGTGCTAAAGCCTGTATGTTAAAAAGTTTAGGAGCCACAGGGCATAAAAGAACACTCATACAATTATGTGTGTTGGTGGAACATATTGAAGATGGGCTGTAGAGTGAGCAAGGGTAAAACAAGGAAGACCAGGAGGAAGCTGCTGCATAATCTAGCTAAGAAGTAACTTCTCAGGACACAGCAGTGTAACTGGTAAGATGTGGTCAAATAATAAATATATTGCCAAGAGACTCGCTAATAAGTTAGCTATGATTCACCTTAATCGGGGGGGACTTAGCCATTTTCATTAGTCAGAATCTGGGATCTGGGTTTTTTATGTATTTATATTTTTACAATGAATAGCTGAAAATACATCAGCTTCATTTCAGTTATTTGGTATACCTATACCTAATACATACTGAAATATTAAAGTGGAGAACATCAACTTTGTGGATGCTTTTGTGACATAAAACTCTAGAAGTACCTGACTGTCACATAAATAAATATTTGTGCTCTTGATCTTAGATTCTTTCTAAGAGGAGATATGTCTACATCTCTGACAGTGAAATTTTATATGCTGTTTGGCCAATTTATCAAATGCCTATGATTTAAATTCTGATAAGAAGTCTCACAACAGATGGAAAATTTATTTGTTAATGCTATTATGTCTCATAATTGTTTCGAAAAAAAGAAAATGAGAATGTAAAAGATGTTAAAAGGATATGGGAATGGAGATATTTTCCTAAATAGACAGAAAAAAATGAGAACGCCTAAGCAAGTGATGAAGGTTTGTGTAGGTTTGTTATGCTATATAAAGGATGAAACAAAAATAATATACACATAATCTTAAAATTTCTATGGTCATAGTTTAGTCAACTAGTTTAAGGAACAAAATATATTATCTAGTCAAGGTTTATCTGAGATTATTTGGTTTTCTACCCAAGCCTTATCTACATAGCACGTGATAATTAAAAGTACCAGACTGATGGAACTAACTTTACTGGATGCTTAACAGCCATAGTTGAGGCCTATACTAATGTGGTCAGAGGGACTTAAAGGATAGTTTTTGCTCCTTGCCCTCCAAGGTCGACTAAGTTCCAGGGGACTATGGAACATCTTTCAAAATGTCCTGTAACTAAGGTGAGTCACCTGTCCTCTTGTTTATGGAGGACATGGAGACCCCCACGAGATGGACTTGAACCAGTATCCAGTCTACAAAGAGGAGGGTCAACTCAGAGGAAGCATCTCATTCATGCTTCCAAATGAAGCCAGACATGGTAGAACAGGACCTTTGACTTATCTTCACATAGATGGAACTGGTAAAAGAAAGGAGCCAGGAGTTCCTCCAAGCCCATGTGACCCCTGAGGAACAGATCCTCAAATGACCTTAAGTGTAAAAATAAATTGATTTATTTGGGCCAAATGTATGGTCCTAAACACCCAAAGGCAAGGTATAACCAAAGAGTAAAGTCATCAGTGTATTTCTTTAAGAGTTCAAGAGATTATACTTCTCAGACATCAGGCTTAAGTCTATATAAAAAGTTATTTAAGCCGGGCGTGGTCGCACATGCCTTTAATCCCAGCACTTGGGAGGCAGAGGCAGGTGGATCTCTGTGAGTTCAAGGCCAGCCTGGTCTACAGCGAGTTCCAGGATAGCTGGGGCTACAGCTGGGGCCACTGACTGACAGCTGGGGCTACAGGAAGAAACTGTCTCAAAAAGACCAAAAAATAAAAATAAAAAGTTATTGACAATTATTTCTCATTGATGATTTTGTTCCTAACCAGAAAGTGCGGCTCAGATGTAAGACTTCAAATCTTGGTCTCCAATTCTGTAGTGCCCACCTGTAGCTAAGGGAGACAACCTGCTATTGTTCTAAAATGATGGATAAATTTGTTTTCTCCCCCTATCTAGAAGATTTTGAGAGGGAGAGAACTGACACTGATTCTAACCACTCCAACAGCTATCAAAATACCTGAAAGCAAATCCTGAATCCATCACTCTAGAGTCCAGCCTTGGAAGACAAAAGAAAAATGAGGAGGAACCCAATAGAGGGATGCTTTTGGAAGCCCTTGTCAAGAAACTCCAATGGACTCTCATATGAACATTTGAAAATTGCCCTGTTCTGACTTTTTTCTAGTTCCCTGTCTAGAACTTGTAATGCTAATTACTCTTGCCTTTACTTCTTCACATCTCCTATTCATGGTTCAAGGACCGCCCCCCACCCCCAAGATAAGAGTTATGCAATTTGGGAGTCTTTTGGATAGAGCCACTGAAGGGGTACTATACTTGCCTCACCCTGCATCCCTGTTCAGCATGGAAGAAGCCAGAGCGGTCAGCAAGCTGTGTAACCTCTTCAGAAGATGGTGTGATAAGAATAGGAGGTAGGAATTGGCTAAGCAGTTAGGGTAAAAAGACCCCAAAGAAAAGGAGTCAGTTTCTTGGCTAAAACTCACAGCATCCTTGGGCCTGTTAGCAACATACTCTGTTCCAAAGGCCCAAAATGTCAAAAGTATTTGGGAGCTTGTATCTAATCCTTGAAAGATTTTAGGGTTACTTCTTCAGAGGGGGGAATG